GATGGCTGGATGATGGCTGGATGATGGATGGCTGGATGATGGGTGGATGATGGATGGATGGATGGATGGATGATGATGGATGATGGATGGATGATGGATGAATGATGGATGGATGGATGATGGATGGCTGGATGATGGGTGGATGATGGATGGATGGATGATGATGGATGATGATGGATGATGGATGAATGATGGATGGATGGATGGATGGATGATGGATGGATGAATGGATGAACAACAATGAGATTTCAACTAAACTTGTGAAAATCAAAGAGGTCAGGTCTTCACAGTGGAAACGTCATTAAAAATCCAAACGAGTCTCAAAATGTTGACGTTTACGGGACTGAACAGATAATCCACGATTAACAATTTTTACACAATCTTAGTTTGAGTTTTACGATTTGTGAAAATTTCAAAAACGAATCCTGATACGATGATGTTGAGTCATTTTTGAGTTCTTTAAACTTTTCAAAATGTTGCAAACTCTTTTTAATCCCACAAACATTTTTCTTCTGATGCAGTTTATACAACAAAACACAAGGACGTTTTGTCTTCTGTCACCGCTGTGGGACTGACAACGATGCTCAGATCTGTCCTGAAAGAAGAGTGGTCACACCCAAACTCTCATTCACTTCCCCTGTATCCATGAGAATGTTCTCTTGTCATTTCTCCTACATGAAACACTGTAGACACATAAAAATTGACGAGTGATGAACTTTTGCCACTTCAGTGTGACTTATAGTTTTAGTTTGTATGACAGTAGCTTTCTACTTTGCTGGATGTCTTTATAAGAGCGCGGTCAGGGACTTAGACATGCAGGTGTTGGTTACCAGAGGGAGTCTAATGAGCCACTGGCTTTACGTTTCTTTAACAGTCCATAAATCAAAACATAGACATTTTGTCTGCTTAGATTATTACAAAATGAAGTTCTAAATCACATAAAAACAGTTTATCATGAAATATGATATAATTTGCTGGAATGCCAGGTAGCAGCATCAGCAGCCTTCCAAACCCTTTAGGAATATTTAAGATTTGCAAATCAGATTTCGTGCTGTTCTGCTCCACTGATCTAAACGTTACAATGTTTGCAGGCAGGCATTTAAAATCAAACCAGCACAAACTCTGCTGCCTCGTGGTTTAGATCCACTGTAGGATTCAACAGACATCCTATTAATTAGCTGTAAACAATCTGTGTGAAGCGTTGTTGTGTAGGTGAATGTCTGCCTGTGTGGGATGATGGGTGAGCATGTGCTCCAGGGGTTTCGGTGTGGAACGCCGCTCACCTGCCAGATGACAAAGAAGATGAGGCCAGCACACAGAACCAAGGTGAGCATGTAGCAGAAGGCCGCGAAGGTGAATGCCATGGCTGCGTCGGTCAGCCTGATGACTGAGAAGGAGTCGTGTTGGGGGCAACCTCCTCAGTGGCTTCTTTAAGTTCCTTTATGTCTTTCTTCTGGAGGTAAATGTCAGTGTTTTTCCCTCCAGGTGCACGCTGAGTGTGTTTCGAACAGGCAAGCAGAGCACTGAGTCAAAGTGACAATCAATGATCTGCTCAGGCTGAGACTGAGCCGCTTCCACCGGCGGTCTGCCTTTGTTCAGCTGACAGCAGGACGGCGGCTGTCTCTCCGGGGTTCAGGAAGCATTCAGGAACCCGTTGTCTGCCGTCGGCTTGTCTTTTCAGCCTCTCACGAACAAAATACGTCCGTCTCCTCCTCTCCCCTGGAGCTTTCTTTAGGACAGAACCTACACATTTGTCTGTGGAGGGAAACTGTCTCTGGTTCACAGGATTTCGTGTCGATTCTCAAAACGGTTGGGATTACCGTTGACAGGGATGGCTTGAGAGGATGGTTTTATGGCTTAAAGTTCATCTGCTGCTTTGATTCCAGCACACTCCCAACAAAATGTTCATCAAAGTCCTTTAAACACTTTTAGAAACAACCAGTTAGCAGGTTCGCCTTTTATTTACAGTTTGTTTTGATGACTAAACGGTGCCTAAACTTCGAGGTATTGCTTCGTTGTCTTGACAGTCATACCCTGACAAAGCAAATTACTTGTGAGTCAGCAAAATAATATTAAGAAAACATCATCATTTACTGTAGATGAGTTTAAAATGAATGCTAAATTCTCACATGTCCAAGAGTACAGGCTGATTAGCTGACCTTAACATCGAGCAGAGGATACCCGCCATTGGTCGGAGACGGGTCAGAACTGTCCACTCTGTCCTGGTGTCTGTCAGCGTGGGTCGGCACCATGTCAGGATCGTTTGCTCCGTCTCTCATCGCTCAGGTCTCATCAAGCAAACAGAAAGAAAACACCAAAAAAATATGAAATCTCTCCGATACGCAGGTGAAACGATTCAGTTCTGGCGGGAAAATCAACAAAAAGTGGGAAGGGAGGAGGAGGTGGGGCAGCTTTAACCAGAGCCTTGAAGAGCATCTACATGTTGACACGCAGTTCTTTTCAAAACACTCCTGTGGAGAGGCGAGCCATCGCCACAGCCGTTAAGAGTCATCATTTAGAAAACGCAGGTGCCCGTCATCTTTCCACCTAAAGACGCGCCCATTTTCTCATTATTCTCATTGTGAGTCCAGAGTCTGCTCTCTCTGTCTGCCTCCCTGTGAGCTTCTCAGACTGCGAGAGAAATATTTCTACCACGGTAGATGTTTCAAACATCAACCAATAGCATTGCACTACCCCCCCCCCCCCCCCCCCCCCGCCCCACTCTCATTTTCTCTCCTCCCTCACTTCTTCTGTCCGTCAGTCTCCCTCTCGTTTGCATTTAACATTTCTATAATCCCCTGTTCCCCAGAGATGGATGGAGGGGGATGGTGTGTGTGTGTGTGTGTGGTGGGGGGGTATATGATGGAGATGTCTGCCTCTCTCCTCCTCATCACTGCCATACAACCATCCATCTTTTGTGATTACAGAAAATGTAAGTCTGTCTCAAAGAATATATTTTTTCTCTTACCTGCCGTTTCTCGCCTCCGCACCTTTCAGCATCCAGTGAAGGGAGATATTTCACTCACTTTTATTCCCCCTTTTCCTTCATCACCTGAGCATTAAATTTTTTTTTAAAGGAAGTATAAAGTATTGCCACGTATTTCCAACACTGGCAGCTGATAAAACAAAAATAGTGGAGTAATGTTTCTGCCTGTGTTTGTACTTGTCTGCCTCAAACATTTCATTTTTACAGCTATTGAGCTAAAGTTTGGTGTGGTAACTGAGAGTCATGCCAGCACATGCTCGGAGTGCATCCGTTCAGATAGTGCATTTGCAAAACTTGACCAAAACAGGGCGGCACGGTCGTGCAGTTGGTAGAGCAGTCACCAGCTCAAATCCCAGCCAGGGGCCTTTCTGGGTGGAGTTGGCATGTTTTCTCTGTGCAATGCCTGGCTTTTCTTCAGGTAATCCGGTTTCCTCCCAAAGATCAGAAGCATACATGTTTCTTGGTAACTGAACCGATGTTACCAGTTGGTAATTCTAAATTGTCCCTAGGTGAGAGTGAGAGAGTGAACGGTTGTTTGTCTCATTTGTCTCGTGGCCCTGAGATGGACTGGAGGAGACCTATCCAGGGTGTCTCCAGCCTCTTGCACAGTGACTGCTGGATATGGACACCAGTGACCCCCCGTGACCCAAACAGAAAGCAGATAAAGATAATGGATGGATGGATGGATGGATGGACAAAACAACATCTTTTTTCACATAAGGCGATTTTAGTTCGTAACTCTGGTCTAAAAGTCAGTGGGCGACATGCAGTGGTGGACGCTGTTCAACTAATCCGAACAATAATTCCACTAATCTAACAGCTAATGGCAAAATTTTTTTGTTTAGTGGATTAGCATTTTCAGTAACTTTAGCGGGATTAGCTTTCGCTAAATTAGGTTTCGCCAAATGTAAGTCCACCAGCAAATTTCACAATCTTGCTTCTGTCTGTTGTGGGCGTGTCTCAAAGAGTCTGTTAGGCACACTATTGGTTGACTACATATACACGTGACAAGACGTGATTGGGCGACACAACTTCAACTGGAAGGAGATGAACAGGGCTTAATTTGTAAACCGATCGATGCTATATAAATATTGAGCGGGCTGGCTGGTGGGAGGGTCTGGGGGTCCTCCCTGAGAAAATTTTCAATAAAATAGATGCGATTTCCTGCATTTTGGTATATATTAACAGGTTGATAAACATCTCCATTTACCTACATTTGTAAACACTCCACTTTTGTCAAGCATCCTTCCTCCCCACTCACTTGACAGTTCCGAGCCAACTTTCTCCGCTGAATTCACTGTCCATCACCACATGTGAAACCTCTAGATGCCTCCTCTGTCTGTTCGTTGCTGCTGCCTGTGAGGATCCTGCCCGTGTGAGACTGCCCAGTTAGCTCGGCACTCACCCCCACCACTCTTTTAGGGGCGGAGATTTTTTTAAGGGTAGACACAGAAATGCTTACTTGAAGAAGCAGATCGTATGTGATATTAAGAGGTTGTAAGTGGCTGTTGTGTTTAAAATGAGTGTTTATGTAATTATTTTCAATTTACATATCCAATATAAGTTTTAATCATACAAGGCAGTCATATTTGTTCATAACTCTATTATTAGTAAGCCTGAAAGTTACCAGACCCAAGCAAACAGTTACTGGAATGCACCCTGTCAAAATAAGAGAGTTCCCAGATCCTTTTCCAGCAGAATCTGGCTCAAATTAAGCACTGGAGACGAAGCTGTGTGACGCAGGCTAAGTGACAGTCATCTTAGCAGTTAGTGGCTTAGTGTTAGCTTCCATTTTTTTTTTTTAAATCTGTTTAGCAGTTTAATGGTAGCAAAGTAAAGCAAATTTTTTAATTAGTGGAATATGGGTAAGGTGCAGTGGCCCATTTGGTCGAGCTGCCGCCTCTCTACGAGAAAGTCGCCGGATCAAATCCCGGCCGGGGGCCCTTCTGGGTGGAGTTTGCTGGGGTGAGTTTGGGGTGAGTTCTCTCCGTGCATGCGTTTTCTCTGGGTACTCTGGTTTCCTCCCACAGACCAAAAACATGCATGTTAGGCTGATTGGTAACTCTAAATTGCTAAATGCTAAATCTTAAATGCTCTAAGCAGCCTAGCTCCATCTTATATTGCATTCCATATTTTTCTTAACAGAGCACTTCACTCTCAGACTGCAGGTTTACTTGCATTTCTTAGAGTTTCAAAAGCAGAATGGGGGGAAGATCTTTCAGTTATCAGGCTCCTTTCCTGTGGAACCAACTTCTAATTTCTATCCCTGAGGCTGAAACATTGTCCAGTTTTAAGACTGGGCTTAAGACTTTCCTTTTTGATAAATCCTATAGTTAGGGTCGGCTTGGGTTTCCTGAGCTGTCCCTTAGTTATGCTGCTATAGACTAAGACTGCTGGAGGACAAACTGATCACATTTTTTCACTCTGCTTGTAGGGATGGCGCCATCTTGTGGGCCTTCTCTGTCTGTGCACCCGTGTGTCATTAATCCTGATTGATTTCACCTTCTGTTCTCAGCTGTTTGTGATCACGTCCTGTCTTGTCTGTGTATTTAAGCCTGTCAGTGAGTCTTGTCCTTTGTCTTGTTGTCATTGGGTATTGTCCTATCATGCCAGTCCGATCTGTTCCTCGTTCCCTGTTTTTGTAAATTGCTGCCACGTCAGCCCTTTTGGTTTATTATTATTATTATTAAAGAGTGTTTATTTTTGTAATCCTTGAGTCCTGACTCTTTCCCTGCTCAACTGGGTTCACTCCTGCCCTGACCTGTCTGAAACCCTGACTGTACGACAAGACCAACCATGAACCCAGCAGGTGAGAGATTTTTGTCTGGACTCTCTATGAAGGATTACTCTCAACTCTGTGACACAGTCCAGAGGTATGTGGTCTCAGCCACCTCCTATAACCTGGGGGAAAGGTGGGTGGCCACAAAAAACATGTTAGACGAATATATTCGTCTCCCCGGTCTAACTGACTCTCCTGGTATGGAGAACATTTTGGACGAGGTGCTGGAGGAAGAACGTTGGCTGGTGCCGTTCATCCACCCATACACTGCCAGTCCTAGTCCTCCACCCAAAGACCACTCCTCTGTCCAGTCCCAGACTCCCTCACTCCTGAGATCCTCATAGCTGCAGCCCCTGTGGTTGCTTCCTGGCCTATCACAGTCCCCGTAGTTTCCCCATCTCCTGCAGCCTCTGTGTTACACATGCAGTACAAGGATCCAGCCCGTTCTGAACCCACAGACCTAGACACACCATCACCACCTTCATGCTCAGCTCCTCTCTCTCGGCCCGGTCCTGGACCTGAACCACGTTGCTACCCACGTCGGAGAGGTCAACAACAGAAGGGTTCCAGGGACTCCGTCCCAGAGTCTGCATCAGCCAGCCCGGAGGGTCTGCATCAGCCAGCCCGGAGGG